ATATGTGAAATTAAACACTGAAACCCAATGAAGCTTCAGTGATACTTATAAAATGAGTTATGACTAAGAAGACTGAGCACTGTTAGAAGCATTGATTGTGCACTATCAAGCATATTGTAACCCAGCTGGTCTCCTAAGGCAACCAACCAGTTACCCTGTTCTGTCATGTGCCTAACCAGCTGTAGCATATTGTTGGTTCAGTTTATCCAGATGTGACACATGTTTATCTAACTGACAGCAGAAATGTGTAGACACACTGTCCATAATGCAGTCAGAGCGATTCATGCACGCCAGCTTTGCTTCATGTGTAGCACTGTCTGACACCATTAGATGGTGCTCAGTCTCCATCTAACCCACTTCCTGCAGCACAGGTCTGGAGTCTCTCATTGACATGCTTGAATGCAACACTGTTAGTTAATCCTTTGTTTGGCATTAGCACTCGTCCTGTCTGGAGGTTGTGCTGAACACCCAGCTGTCTTTCGCAGTTTTGACAAGAGATCATGCCCTTTGCATTCTTTCTTCACTTGCTCCCTTAACCACTTTTGTTTATAATTAATTAAAAAAAAAAAGGCACACCAAACACAAACTGACTGACTTCTCTTTGTGTGTACTGTTTAAACATGCATTACTAAACTACTGCAACATTTTATAACTGGTTTTCACAAAAACAAGTTTGAATTTAAATATTTTGTTCTAATAGTTTTGTCTACTAGTTTTCCTTTTGTCTTTTCTTTCCACACAGGGAGTCGGTCTTCCAGGTCTAGCTGTAAGTAGCATGTTGATGACTTTCTCTTACAATAATTTATCTTTTGATGGGTAGAAAATAGTTGTAGCTGATGGAATATTCACATGTTCTCTTTTGCATTTATTCTTCATGCCATGCCATATGCAGGGCACTCCAGGTCCAATTGGTCTCCCAGGTCAAATAGGACGACCTGGTGCAAAGGTACCAGACCAGCTTCAGTTATACTTAATAGTACAAGCACACATTAATTACAGCAGTCCTTACATTGGCCATTGTTTTACTCATGGGCATTTTCCTATTTCACCTTCCTTCAGGGCATAATGGGACCACCTGGGCCTCCAGGACTTCCTGGACCTTCAGGCAAGCCAGTAAGTATGCAATGGTATTTTATCATGCATGACAACTCTGACTATGGCTTGCAGCACAACAAAGTTGGCTGAATATTGAAATGTATAGACATAACATGAGTGAAATGGCACATAATTTAGCTTGGACAATGTTGTAGTAAACATGTTGTAAATCAAAGCCAAATAATCATTAATTATCTTTTTTTTTTGTAAAAAGCAAGCTGAATATAATGGAATATAATTATGTACGCACACACACACACACACACACACACACACACACACACACACGCACACACCAAAATTAAAGAAAGAAAGAAAAAAAGTCAGATTAGTTCGGAGGGCTGGACAATGATACAGATGTTACTTTGTCATCAAAACTTTGGTTGTGGGTGAAGACGCATATTCATTTTCCATTGCTGAGCAAAAAGCTACTTAAGAAATAGCATATTAGGCTTCATAAGCTCAAGATGTAAAACAATCTGATGTGGTAATATCATCACATCAACACTAAAATCCTAAACCTAAACAATTTGCACACATCCACATAATAAAATAAAAAAAGGGAGCAGGAGAAATAACAAGGATCCTGATATGGTCACTAACACTTTTTGCTAACAGTATACATTGCCCCTACTATTACAATGCTAGTGCTAAGTCCAAAGTTGGAAAACAGTAGAAATGACACGTTGTTTTTCAGCAACACAATAAGCCTTGATTGTTTAATCTCAGAAAATGTTGTGATAGAAAAAAAAAAAAAGATTGTGACCTTAATCAAGCGCGTATTTCTGCAAGCCTAAATCAGCTGCCTCTAATGCTGAATGGGATTGCGGTGTAAAATAAAAGCTGTGACAAAGTGCTAATGCTGAGCAGAATCTTTGTTTGTTTCATAAAAAAAAACAGCAGTTATTATGTGTGTTTTGAAAAGCGTTAAAATACCTACAGCAGCCAGAGCTTAAACAGGTCCCAGTAGACATAAAGGGATGAAGTACTGAAAACAGTTTTAAGACTTACACTTTGAAAGCGTATGAACTCCCTTGTGTGCATCTATGACAGTCTTCATGAAGGTGGTGGTGAGTGGGGGTGTATTTTCAGTGAAAGTGATGTTCCCAGCCCAAGGGAGTATATTTGTTTAGCTTTAGTGCTGTCCTAGGACAAATAAACCCCCTGACTGTCGCAGTAATAGATCAGTCCCTTGAGATACTTCACTTCCAAACTTGATCTATAAATGGAGAGATGAAAAGATAGGGAAACAAATGGATGGCGATATGAAGGAAGTGCTTACTTAGCTCAGAAGTGAAGAGGACTTTGTCAACTGTGACCAGTAGGTTTTCCTCGTTTATGTACCCATTTCTCTGTCCAGGGACCTCCAGGAAAGTTTATTGGTTTAGATGAAGGTAGTGCAGACTTCCAGGTAAGGTCTTGTTTGAATACCCTTTTATACCACTTTGAACATTATTTAACAATTTGTAACCTGAGTTTGTCTTTACTTTTACATTAGTGTCCTCTCAACTGCCCGGCAGGACCTAAAGGCCCCCAAGGACTGCAGGGTGTTAAGGTGATGAGTGCGCCTGACTGTTTTCTGTCAAAAGTCCCTTATGTCACCGTATTATCTAAATGTTTCTCTCTAGGGACACAAAGGACGTGCCGGTGTTCTTGGGGACTCAGGAAGCATAGGAAAACTGGTGAGCCGCACAGTACACACATCCACTCACATACCGAAGCATGTTTATGTTATACAGCGTTGCACACTCAGACACCATTGAGAACCAGAGGAGGCAAGGATTAGTTCTAATGAAGCCCCCTAAGGCACATGACTGCACTAATCTGACTGCGATTAGTCAGGCTGGGCCCTGGCCGTGCAGTCTGCTTGCACCTAGGCAGATGAAAGACATGGTGAGGAGCCAGGTACATGAAGAAGAGGATGAGCGAGTCAGGGTTTGCGTGGCCCTCTCACCTTGCCAATTTAAGCAGAGCTAATGAGCACACTGTGAGCTCCAAGGGAGCAGCTAGCCGAGCCACAGGAGTTAGCCTCTGATCTTCCCCCACAATGAACCTTCTGGCAGTGCTCGGTGCAGAAAAAGCTCATTACACCCTGGAGCCACACCTCACAAGCATAACTTTTTTTTTTTGTTTGTTTGTTTCTTTTTATTTTTTTAAGACTTATCTCAATATCTCTTATTTTCCTTCATAAAGACAGTCATCGAGATCTTCTAGCATCAGCTTGTGCCTAAAAGAGAACTCGGATGTTGTCTGTGAAATCATGCAATATTTTCTGAATATCAAATCAATGCAGAATGAAACACTGAAGTAGACTTTTATTTTTAATGGCTGATAAGTAGAACAGCTTCATGACCCCAGCCTTTATTAAACATGTAGGATGGACCAACAGTGATTGGAATGTCCTGTCACATTGATAGATGATGATAGTAAAGTATTCAAACATTTTAGGATCTAATTTTATTTTGGTGCTAGGTGCAACATGACATTAGACACACGTGTCCTTATGGATTTAGTATAGGCTATAGATTAGAACAGCGCCACCATTTTCATTGTTTACACCCGTTGAAGGTGAGACATGTTATAGTCTCCATCCGTCCGTTCCTCTGTCTAAACTTTCTTTTGTCAAGCTTTTAATTTCGGATCCTGTCAGGTTAATTATACAAAACTTTATGCACATATGCATCATCAATAGATGGAGCTTTCATTATCCCTGCTTAAATGTAAAGATCATAAATCAAGGTCAAATGTTAAACAAGGTCTTTGCTTGTCTTGGTCATTGCTATAGATTGCTGTATCAGTGGGCATATAATGTGCCACATGTGGTTCTCTTGTTTGATGTGAGACCACTTGTTACAAAGCCTTAATGGTTTTATTCATTTATTTTGCAATTGCTTTTTTTAATTAGACTTATTTGTCAGAAATGGAAAATAAATCATGCTCCGTCAACAACAACTATCTAAGCAACTTGTCAATCACCAGAGAGCCAAATATCCCATGCAAATCTGTTTAATTGTCAGTTTAACATAAATGTTGACATTTGACAATTACGTCTTCACAATTGAGACAAATGATTTTATTGTCTTTTTGCTCACTGCTTTGCTTCCATGTAAGTGTTTGCAAAATTACGAGGAATCCTATGTCTAACCTAAAAACAAATAAATAAATAAATAAAACACTGAGTTCCTTATGGTAACCTTTAAAAACATGTTATCTATTTAATAAATCACCTCATTGTATGTTTTTTTTTTTGGCTTTGTAAGCAAAAAACAAACAAACATTAGTTATTGATCACTGCAGAAGGTGAAGCATGTATATTGTTTTGTCCCATGTCTGTCTATTTGCATGTGTTCATTTATCATTAGCAAATTATCTCATAAACCACTTGATGGATTTAAATGAATTGTGCCAAAAAATAAATAAATAAAATTAAATAATTGACTGTACATGTACAACTAAATAAGTTTTGAAGTCAACCCCCAATAAGACGCCTGCTACAGCTATGCCATAATATCAAACACAAAGCTCAGACAATTTAACAGAGATCTGGCTAAAGTTTGGTGTGGTAATAGTTGAGAGTCATTCCCAACATATACACTGACTGCAATTCTGTAAGATCTGTTTTTTTTTGTTTTTTTTTTACGTTGCTAACAAACTCAACTCTATTTAATAAATGGAGTCAGCCACTGTATACATTTTAGCATATTTTAACATTAACATTAACTTGTTTGTTAAGGCAAATGGGAATCTCCAGGTTGGTTGTGTTGACAAATGCAATTTTATATTTGTAATTTTTATATAATTAAATTTTTCTGAATAAATATGTCACTGCAGTGGAGAACTTGAACTGCATCCTAAAACCAGCTATAAAATAATTAAATTGATAATACTAGGTGAGAAGAAGCATATGTTCCTTCCATCTTTCTATACTATCAAACCAATTTAGCATTAATAAAAGGTGAACTTGCTTGTCATTTAAAAGACTACAGGTTTAAACTGCTTACAGTACATATTAATTACACAGTAGTTTGTGGCTTATATATTGTTTTGGGGCAGTAGCATAGTAACCACAAGGAAACATATAAGAATTATGCTCATATCTCAACTTTAAAGCCTTGTTTTCAGATGCTTTAATTACAGCTGAGGGAAGAATATTTTTGTACTAGCAGTTTTTCTAGCATTGGTGTTGGTACTACAATTTTGCCTTCATCTCTCTTATTTCTATCCAGACATTCTAACAGTATTCTATATTTGTTCTGCCAGATGTGTGTATATACGTTCATAAATCAAGCACATTAAGGAACGTGGCATTCCATCCTCCAGTACAGTGTAAAGTATTGAATAGTTAATTAGGGCGTTCCATCCATCATTTGAGAGCAGAAGCCCTGGATGAGTTGTGGACAGCTGTCCCTTGTACTTTAAGAACTAGTATAAGAATGTTGCTAGCGATAATGATGACAAGTTCAAACTTAGCAGTACTATATAACTTTCAGCATTTGTTTAAATCTGTGTTATTACAGTTAACTATACTACATTTCCTAAATTTAAAGGGGAAAGTCAGAGTTAAATGTAGCTCTGCACACAAAGGCTTGCATTGTATAGTATGTTCAAGTGTAACGGTATAGAGCCACAGACACGCCTAAACATTTTTTGATAGTTCAAAGAAAAATCAGCTGCCAGAATAAACCGAATAGCAAGTAGCCATGTTGTTGTCAAATTCAGTTATATATTGTGTCTTCCCACTGAACCTAGAAATCATAGTGGAAAATACTGACTGGTAGCTGAAAACAAAGTCCAACATGCTGGAAACTACCAACACTTTTATCATTGTTTAAGTCGTATTTTTATAAAATACACATTAGGCTTCTGAATTCTTCCCTAATCCAAACATGTTTTACTTTCCATATGTGGTGTAACAACTGTGTTTTCATGCTCCTAGTTTTGTCATATCTGCGTGGAGAAGTAGATAATGGTAAATGGACTTCAATTATATAGCGCCTTTCTATCTTATCAAGATACTCAAAGCACTTTACACTGCAATTTGTGTCCAATGGGACACACATCGGAGGCAATGAGGGGTTCATTGTCTTGCACAGGGACACGTCAGCATGCGACGGCTGGTAGAATCAAACCCCCACCTCTCCCATTGGAGGACAACACTAACCACTCAGCCACAGCTGCCTTTAGACACTTTAAAAAGTTTCAATTCCAATTTCAACATTTAGCAAGAGTACACCTTAAAGTCCATGTGTCTGAGTGAGGATATTGGTATCGGACCATTAATTTTTGATTAGCTTTCTCCCACTGGCTAACAAGCTTCAGCAAGATTGCTATGAAGTATGACTTTACAAGTACAGAGCACACAACCTTCAAAGGCCAATTAAACATCAAAAACAACCAACATAACTTACTTTTACCTTAAAATAAAAATACAAATTCAAAAAAGATGAACTTTCAACGTCTGAAAATAAAGTTAAACTAATATGTTTTTTTTTCTTCTTCTTTTATCAGGGATCCAAAGGAAATGTAGGCTTCTCTGGGGAGCAAGGCATCCCAGGACCTCCGGTATGTTGTAAACAATATGACATCCATGTCAATTAGGAAATGTTTTTTTTTTTTTTAAATGTTTTAAAATAAGTTTTGTGACCTGGTGATGTTCAAGCACCAGTATTTGTCTTACATTGTTTTACTTTTTCTTTTAGGGTCCAATTGGTCTTAGGGGATACCCAGGAATGATGGGTCCCAAAGGAGAAGCAGTGAGTGCCACACATTTATTTTTTGTTATTTACATGGAAATTTAATGTGCTTTTTGTAATTTAGTTTCAAGGCCATTATACTTCAGAGATGAACACAGACAAACCTGGCCTCTTCTATACAAACACCATCCATTACCAGCAACGGGGACATATGGAAATGATGCTAACACAAATCTCTCTCTTTCTCTAATGAGTTGGGGTTGTCTGGGTCCATAGTGCCTCCGTCTGTAGTTAATGATCCGCTGTAGCCATCCGTCTTAGTGTTAACATTAGCCAAGTTAGCCAAGTTAGCGCCCCGGCTTAGTGCCAAAACAAAAGTAGCTGGCTCTTGGTGCAGCTCCCATTAGTGGAGTGAGTTAAGCACTAATTATCCTTTTATCACAATGAATAGAAGAGCTTCTGAGATTAGCTTTCTCACTGATATTAGGTGATTGATTGCAATTTGTTGTTTTCCGTCAGGGACCTGGTGGCTACAAGGGCATCAGTGGCCCTGTAGGAATTCCTGGACCTCCTGTAAGAACCCCACCCCCACACATTTAGATAAGTAAAACATTTTAAATTGTCTAAATTACTATTTATATTATTTTGTAGGGTGAAGAGGGACCTAAAGGACCACCTGGAGAGTCAGGAGAGATGGGCGATAAAGTAAGAGACTTTTGCCATGGTTTTTTTTGCTTATCTGTTTGCTTGTGTTTTGTTTGTTTTTATTCAGCATTTGAATAGGGAAATCAATGTGATGTATGCTATACATTTACTGACATAGATATAATTATTTGTTGCAGGGCGGCCGAGGCATTCAGGGTCCTCAAGGGGCTGTTGGTAAAAAGGGAGAAAATGTGAGTTAAAACTCTTGGATTGTTTGTTGCCATGTGTTTGAAGACTGTGCCAACTTATAAATGAAATCCACGAACACATCTGCTTGCGTTTCACAGGGTCTGCCAGGTATTGATGGAAAAGATGGCACACCTGGAATACCTGGAATCAAAGTAAGCTTGTGCTTGCTGCATGAAACAAAAAAAAAATCTGAATTAAAGCTATTTTTACTCTCTTACTTTGCTCTCTCTCTTTCATGCAGGGTGCTCCTGGGCAGTCCGGGATGCCGGGTTCTCCTGGACCTCAAGGAACTGCTGTGAGTGATCTATTAATATAGATGGGGATGGCGTACTTATTGTATGTTACAAAAAAAAAAAAAAAAAACAGCACATACTGTCACCTAGATTCACTTAATCACTTACAGTAATTTAGTCTTTATATGTGACTTTAACAAATATGAAACAACACAATAAAAAAAAAAAGACAAAAGGCTGAAGCATCATGTAAATGTTAGTACGATCTGATTTGTAGGCGCTCATTCTGCTTTACAAAACAAGGGTAGAAATTATAGTTCATTATTGGGGGGGGGGGGGTGAAGAGCTAATGTTCATTAGCGTGCTCACAACTTGCAGAAACTACATGGGCGCACTGACTGGTTGTATTTCTTCACCTGCGCCTGTGAGAATACAGTATATATATAATTTGGCTTGTATTACTTTTTGTGGTCACTAATTGTCACTAATCTGCATCATTTTGGCAAGACTTTAAAGCTCTAAATATAAAAATGTTAACAATCAAAAGACATGCGTCCAATAAATAAGTCATTTAAATCAAACACAATTATTCTTCAGACACATTGATTTATTGTGGTATCTGCCAATATAAAATATGAGTCATTGGAATGATGAACCAAGATTGATTACTCCTGCAGATCATAGATCCATTCAATTATTATAGAAATAAAGTATTACTCTTTTCATTTACAAAAAGCGAAGTATTTTGCTTCGTGTAAAATAACAAGAACATTTCCAAGTAACACCATTCCCCCATGCAAAGGTCAAACTTGATAACGATTGAGTTTTTATGCACTTTGCACTCTTTCTAAATCAGATGCATCACCCCCTTGTATGGGGTCAACAGATGGTTGTGCGTGGGGGGTGGGGGGATTTATAAGCTGCATAAATGCATCATTCTGCATATGAATGGTGGATATGCTTTCATTTCGGGGGGGGGGGGGGGGGGGGGGGCCCATCTTTGTTTTTTGTTTTTCTTAAAATTGGGGGGGCCAGACGCTTGAGATTTCTGCCCAAGTTCACAGTGAATCCTTAATCCATTCTCTTTTAGAATATAAACCACCTTCAAATGGCACTCCTCCATCTGCATATCGTTTATCATAATCAGAGAAAGTGTGTGTGTGGGTGGGTGTGTGTGTGTGGTATTTTGACTGAGGGGTAATGGAGCATGGGATGCACACTTTTCTGTGTGATCACTACTGTGACACCAACACTGCTGCAGATTTAGAAGCTGGAGTTTACTGTCTGTTTATGTCCTTCTATGATACATTATCACACATGTGCATGACATATGTACAGACATGCACAGAGAGAGAGAGATGCAAGTATGTAAGTTGATTTGGTTCATATGTCCATCTATATGGGTCGCCGGTGGTTCATAAGTCTTTTATTTTTCTTTATCAGATTTTTCAACTTTGATGTGATAAGAGTTGAGTGTCATCACCTACTCAAACACCAAACACCAAGTGCTAACAGATTATGAAAGACCTTAGTATGAAAAGTTGTCAATAACTACAGCAGTCAATGTGCCTGTCTGTTAGCAAAGTTCCTCATGAACCACCAGACTCATTCTTATGAAACTCCCAGAAAGTTATTATTGGTTGTACATCTAGAAGTGTTTAACGTATCAAATCAGTTAGATTTATTATGGCCACCACAGCCAATCCACCTTAGACAATACACAACAGTATATAACATTAATTCTACAGATGTTGTGCAAAAATTTGACATAATAGTAGCTGAGCGTCATCCACAACATAACTGTAAAGTCTTGGTTACTCTGTAGGGATTACCTGGCACCCCTGGGACAAAGGGAGAAGCTGGAGTTAAGGTATGTCATGATTTTCCTATTGTTTCATATTACCAATTTACAAAAAAAAATGTGTTGTTGTTGTTCTTGTTATTATTATTATTATTGTTATTAAAATTTACACGAAACTCTTGCAAGGGGGAACCAGGTCCTAGGGGTCCTGCTGGCACTTCTGGTGCTCCTGGACCTTTGGTAAGTGTATGATATTTGCATGCCTGCCAAAATGTTATAGTGCAACTGGGGTAGACACATGTATTAATTTATTGCACCCTTGTTAGGGTGAACCTGGTATTCCTGGTGAGCCAGGTATGGCAGGGGTCCCTGGACCAAAGGTAATGTATTGTAATTTTAGATTAAAACACTAAAAGGTGCTGCCTCAAACCAGGCTCACTCACTTTCAATGACTTCTGAAGGGTGACAGAGGCGAGCGTGGACCTGTAGGGCCACAAGGTGGAGTAGGCAAGCCTGTAAGTCATATTGCTTAATTGTCAAGTACATTTTAAGATGAATACAGGATGTACATGTAAGTGATTACTGTTTTCTAACAGGGAGGTAAAGGAGAAAGAGGACTCCCTGGTGTCCCAGGTGCACAGGGTCTTTCTGGGATTAAAGGAGACCAGGTATGTGCATTTTTGACCATGAGAAAGTTGCTACATTTTGGTGTGAAACCTGTAATATAACTGTGTGATACTGTAGTTAGGCAGAGCTATCCATTGGGGGCACTGTTTATCTGTGACTAGAACTCAAATGAATCCACAGTAGATTATTGAAAAAGGCAGGCAATATAAATGATAATTCAAAGTTCCACATCTTCCTTGTTTTAAAGTTGAGACAATTTTTTTTTTCTTACTTTCCAATCCCTAGTGTCACTGTCTTCAATCAGTAAACAGTTTTTTGTGTGTGTGTATTTTCTACGTGATAATAGATTTTGGATTTGATCACATTTACGTTTACTCATTTCTCAGGGCTTCCAAGGCAAAGTTGGTCCAAAGGGGGACATAGTAAGAAACCTTTATTTATTTAAATTATTTTCATTTATTTATTTGCTTTGTTAGAATGTGTTGTCAAAAATAGACAAACAGAAGCACTATGCTCACACATCCCTTTATTCTTATCCTCGGGATTTCCGTTTTGTTGCTTTTAGGGCGATCCTGGCGTGGAGGGATTGGCTGGTGAGAAAGGTGAAAAGGTAACGAATATGAACACACAGTCCAAAGCTGTTCTCAGCTTTTTGCTATAAGTAACCGTGACAAAGTTGCTGGTTCTTAAAAAAACTTTCAGTCTTTAGATAAGAAGGTTTAACATGTTTATTTTGAATACATCAAAACGGAATGATAAAATGAAGAATATAATTGTTAAACCATAACAATGTTAAAAGCCTGTTTTTAAATTTGCATATGTGCTCTTGTAGTACCGTAATCCAGATGGCGAGTAAGTTGTTTACATGACGGTAAAGCAATGAGGCGCGATGGCTCTTTGAGGCCAGATTTCAGTATTCATTAATAACATTCTTTCTTGAATTACAGATGACTGTACATATCTAAATAATGAATATTAAATGTAGATAAAACTATGATAATGATTGTCTGTCTTTGCTGTGGCAGGGTATATCTGGTGAACCTGGGCCCAAAGGACAGGTGAGAGTACCACCATAGGAAAGAGGTGGTTGATAGCTTTGTTTTGGCCTCATTTACTTCTAACCTTAAAAAAAAAAAGGGTTTATCTTTTTAAATAATTGTTTATTTGATTTTCTTCTCTTTTTCAGCAAGGGATTAGGGGTGACCTTGGGCACAATGGTCCCACTGGGGACCCCGGTAAACCTGGAGATCAGGGACCATCAGGGCTATCTGGTCCAAGGGGACTTAATGGAGAGCGAGGGGTACCTGGCATGCCAGGCATTATGGGACCACCAGTAAGTGTATTTCAACTTTCAATACAGCATACATATTTGGTATTTTATATCTCGGCAATTCTCATTCATCTCTTCCTCTCTCCAGGGACGTGATGCATCTGACCAGCATATTATTGAAGTAGTTCTAAAGATGATGCAGGGTGAGCATCCAGAGCTGAATATTTACCTTTGATGTCTGCAGGGTAGATTAGATTAGCTCATTTTCCAAAACTGCTTTCATCTCCTGAGCAGTCAGTTGCCAGCTATCAAAGGTTAATAAAAAATGATTATGTTGTGTTATTTTTCTCGTCTTCTTTTAACAGAGAAGCTCACAGCAGTAGCAGTGAGTGCAAAGAGAGCTGTGCTTGGTGGTACAGGTGTTATGGGACCTCCAGGGCCCCCTGGACCTCCAGGATCACCTGGCTCTCAGGGTCCACATGGTTTACCAGGACCCCGTGGAATGCCTGGTATCATTGGAGCACATGGGCAGATAGGAAACACAGGGCTTAAAGGTACAAATAAACAACATGATACATTTATATATTACGAGTAGCATTTACTAACGTCTTCACATGATCCACCTTGCTTAGGAAAGAGAGGGGCGAAGGGAGAGAGGGGAGATCCAGGTAAAGCTCACCCAGGACCACCAGGACCACCAGGAATACAAGGTAGGAATTTAGCTCATGCATGCAAACTTAACATCTAGAACCATATGAGCTGAAAATAGGACTGAAGATTAATTAAATATACAACAAATGGACAGCAATGTTCACTTAATCTTTGTTTTATGTATCAAAGGAAAAGAAGAACCAGAATGTGGCTCAATTAAAATGGGATGGCAAAACACTGCTGACATAAAAATGTTCATGCTACCTCATAAAACATAAAAAAAATAGAACAATGATCATAGCAATTTGTTAGATTTACAAGGGAGGGATTGAGAAAGACACTGGTATGCTGGTTTCCGTTTGCCAGAAGTTCCATCGCATTGAGATCACATATCTCTTTTCTAAGGGAAGCTTTAGCCTACAGGCAGCCTGCTATAGATGGTTTGGACTGTGAGAGGAAACTGGAGTAGCCGAAGAGAACCCACGCAAACAAAAGAAGAACATGGAAACTCCACATAAAAAGACTACAAGTCCAAACTGGGGGTGAAACCCAGGACGCTCTTACTGTGAGACAGCAGTGTTAACCACCAATGTGCTGCCCAGCTTCCTTTGTTGCTGGAGCTTAAAACCACAAGGCACTATTTGCCATTATGGGCTTTTGCAACCAGCATCTGTGCAGGTTGCATGAGGCTTTAAGTCCCTTCTACCCTTAGCTTGCAATCATGGTGTCGTCTTAAATTTTTGATTTATTTATTTATTTATTTTTAAGCAAGAAGTAATTAACTGCTGATAAATGTTTTTTTAAAAAGTGTGCCAATATTTGAACTTATATCCATACATATCTTATATGTCCATTTTGTTTACATGGAGGTGGCAAAACTTACTTTTACTTTAACCAGTCATTTAGGAAGTTGATCCCATTATGGCTTCAGCTTATAGGTTTCAGTTCAAGGTCAACCTATATACAGTCTTTGGGCTAAACCAGTGCATTAAAATGGATGGCAGGTTCAAATTGTGAAAAAAAAACAAAATAAAAAAAAACTGTTTGTTTCTGCAGCATGGTGGCACAACTGGTAGAGCTGCCGCCTCTCAGTAAGCAGCTTACCCTGGTTCAAATCCCGGTCCGGGTGCCTTTTTGGGTGGAGTTTGCATGTTCTCTCCATGCATGCGTGGGTTTTCTCCAGGTACTCCGGTTTCCTCCCACAGACCAAAAACATGCATGTTAGACTGATTGGTAACTCTAAATTGTCCCTAGGTGTGAGAGTGAATGGTTGTCATGTTTGTCTCTATGTGTCCCTGTGATGGATTTGCAACCTGTCCAGGGTTGTCCCCCACGACCCACAAAGGAAGAAGTGGGTAAAATATAATGGATGGATGGATGAATGGATGTTTCCAGTAGTTTTTGAAATACAAAATTTGATATTAAAAGTACTATGAATAGCTATTGAGTAATGATCAAGCTTAATTATGAATGGTAAAAAAATGAATTAACAAATGAACTACAAATATTTACATAATACAAATCTATCATTTTTTTTTTAATTGGTAAATGTGAATTTATCAAACTTTTTTTGTTGTTTCTTACATTTCTGCATTTTTTTTCCTTCAGATGGATTTTTCACTATTCTTTCTACATTCAGATTCTAATTTTAGCTACTTTTTGAATGTTCATTAAAATGAACAAGTAGCAAACATTGAGTGCATCTAACGAGACTATACAAGATTTTTGTACCATTAAATGTATTTCAAAAGAGACAATTCCTAAATTCTAACTATCTCTTTTTTTGAAAGGACAACTCATACCTCTTCATGTTTTAATGTTTTCCTGAATAATTTATGCTTTAAAAAGCTAGCAAAATCTGCACATTTGCTTCGTTCCACAAAAACGGACTACAACACCCATCCCTCACCTGCATGAACTCACCAAGCTGACAGGGAGGGCTGATGGGATCCTGATCACAGTATATAAGTTTATTTTAATACTGGATTCCAAACAAGATCTCAGAAACCTAGAATAAGAACAGTGTCCCCGTTAGGCTAGTTTCAATTCAAGTTTTATTAGAAATCTGAGCACAAATCCTTCATTTCAGGGATCATAAGTTTTATGAAGGTTAAGTGCATCATCTTGACTGTCTTAATGCTGATCAAGTACAAATTTGATTCCCATTATTAATTCATTCTTTTTAAACAGTACAAAATAAAAAGCAATCATCTCCTCACCTAAAAATGTGTTCTTTGTTTTCACCTTAGAGTTATCAGTTCAACAATCTTCCACTGGAAAATGTATTCACAAAGTTGCTGTTTGTTTCTTTGTGGTTTGTCCCATTTTGTTTAGATGCAAAAAGTTTTCCATTTCAGCTCAATGTAAAAAAAAAACGACCACTGTACCACGTGTTTAGGCTTTTTATGATGCAGTTAGGAATGCACATTAAAAGACAAATGGTGGATGGGAAAGCAGAGGTGCAGAAGACAAAGGGGACAATAAGCAACTGAAAGACTTGGCATTACATCTTTTGCCACAGGAGAGGCTGCTGAAAGGAATTTTAAAGGCATCATTAACTCCAGTCATTTAACACATGCTCTTGAATGAGAAAGTGAAAGGATTGCAACAGTACTAGCTAATTCAAATACAAATTCTCGTGTGCACAGAGGCAGATAACTTAAACATCAGGACATGTAATTCACCCATGCTATCAAAGTCTATGTTGGGGTTTTCCATCATTAATATGAACCTTGGAAGTTATGTATATTGATTTCTGGAAATCTTTAAATATGTATATATATCTTTCTACAGGTCCTTCAGGTATTGATGGTGTAGCTCGAGATGGGAGACCTGGAGAGAGAGGACCTCAGGGAGAAGCTGGAGAGGCTGGTCGCCCCGGTAAGGCAGGGCACCCAGGTCTTCCAGGGTTCTGCGAGGCAGCGATGTGTCTGGCTGCATCCGCATACACCTCGCCGAGATTACAGGAGGCGGGGACTATCAAAGGACCCAGTGTTTAGAGACTCGTCTCTCACATCATCAGTTCGTAACACCTGGAAGGATGGGAGATCAAAAGAGAGAGAGCGAGAGCCAGAAAACTCTTCTCTGTTGGATAACAACAAAAATAAGAGGCGGGGACAATGATGGCACCATGACTGGATGTTTAGCCCCCTCATCCTCTTCTTCTAAATTTGACAACCAAAAGTTTTGACTGGTGGGACATCATGATCTTAATCCCACATATCACCATGACAACAGCAGCTCCCTGCCACCTACATCCTTTAAAATTCTTCACTGTTTTTGGATGATGTCAGTGTCATTTCCTTCCAAATATAATTTCACTGTTCCAGCAGTGACACAGGAACAGATTCAGATTGCATCCCCCTGTCTCCCACCAACACATAATGTGCAGTATGGATTGAGAAGAGCTGAAACTCAAATTTGTTGATGGGTGCTTTATTTTTTTTTTTTACAACCACAGTCACTTTATTGGTTATGGTACACCTATATGCAATATTTTGTGTTTTAATTTATGAAGCCTTAAAATGCACAAAAAGACCAATAAATGATTTCAGTCTATATGTTCACTCAGTACTGTATTATAAAATGTAACTTTTGATTATCAACCTTGAGTGAATCTTTAATTTAACTCAAGTACCTCCACCCCTTCACCCAACCCCTCCCTACAGTCTTGATTCCTTGCTTGCAACCTAAGTCTCATTTTAGAAACTAACAACTAGCTTTATCTCTTCCCCTTGTTGCCTGGCAACAGCATATCCCAATGGGCACTCCCCATCTCCCACAATGCAGTGCTGTAAATCTTTGTAAATGCGTGTTGATTATTATGTGCAGAAAAAAAGAAAAAAATAATGTTTTATGATATGCACCAACAAAAATCCTGTGTTAATGGAAACAGGAAGAAACATGCGGCTCCCATGGAAATACGTTTTCTTCAGAACAAATTGGCTAACAGTTCACATGCTCTCTGCCACTGTCAACTTTCCAAAAGAAATCTGATTTATTTTCATCAAACAGAAGCTATTTATTGTCTTTATGTAATCATATGTAAAGAAGTAGTTCATTTTTTTTATGTTTCAGTCATCCCACAGCAATAAAGAGGAATCTTTTGTAAAATTGAATGTTTCTCTGTGCTACATTGGGCATATATATCATTTTATTGCCATATACAGAGCTAGTTTAATGAGTGAGGGATGGAGTGGTGGCTCAGAGGTTATATAAGGTGGGCCTGTGATCGGAGGCTCGCTGGTTCGACTCCCGGTACCAAAAACATCAAAATGTGGGTGGGATTGGTGAAGCGCCCACACCTGTCTACACCCTCATTTGCCCCACTCTGGGCCCTTGAGCAAGGGCAACCATCTACGATGAGCAACCATCTACTCCCCCAGGTGGCCTAGATGGCAGCTCTCTGCTCCACACAGAGAGCTGTGGTAGCTTGGTGGTCTGTGGTTGTGTCAGGAAGGGCATCCAGCATAAAAATAATTGTCAAGTCTTCGTGCGACTTAGCAGTGGTGACCCCTGAAGAAGGGAGCAGCTGAAAAAAAACCAACAACAATAGAGATAGGTTAATATGCAGTATTCCCTTGTTTATCGCAGGGTTCAGGGACAACACCCCCCCGTGATAAGTGAAAAACTGTGAAGTAGGGATAGTAGTACAAGTTCAAGTAAACTTTATTTTCATTGTCATCTCATGTGGTACATGAGATGTAAAAGAAATTATGTGCACAAGTAGTAGAAGTAGTAATAGTAAGTAGATGTTTATTTTAGTATTTATTGTAGTAGTAAGTAGTAGTTTATTTTAGTATTTATATAAAGTATAAATTAAGGCTTTATAAACCCTTCCCACACTCCTGCAAATTCAAAACTCTTAAACCTGCATCATTTTAACAACATACATACAGTACTATATATATGCAACTACTAAATTTTACATACTAGCTCTGAGCAGCGGCTCTTGTTCCGATTCAACTTTGTTCTATTCCAACTCAGTTCATTTCTGCAGACTATCCTGCAGTGATGAAGCACACAAAGCAGTCCTCTAAACTCCTAAACATACAAATGTTAACAACATATTTATATGCAGCTGCTAAATTTTACTTACAAGGTCTCTGCAGAACAGGAGCCGCTCGGTTCCATCCAACCCAGTAGATGAAAAAAGTCCTGGTGCAGCATGATGTAGTCCCTGCTGCATCCAGCTTGATGAGCGTGTACTGCTGCTCCAGGAAGGACACTCTATGTGAGAGGCTGCCTAGGTTTTTTTATTCCACCACCTCTGGCCCAGTCAGACCATCACAGCACAACCAGAACCAGTCTGTTGCCTACAGCTCCTGGATCCGGGTCACAATGAGTACAGCTGAACTGCAGCCCAGCTACTCAGCAGTGAAGATACAACTTGAAGGATGAGTTAAGCTTCAGAACTATTTGCAACTTTTCTGCCAGTCCTGTGAGCTTATCCTTACAGATCTTCTGACTTTGTATTGCAAAACTTTCCCTCCATTTGCAGAAAGCAGTGGTTGGAAGCAGTGTTGACTTCTGGGAGGTGAACTGATGGCTTCTGGGTAATCCAGATCTTTAGAGTGGCAAAACAGTATAGGATTATTGAAAGAAAACTAGAAAATGGCACCACATTTTTATTATTTTTTGAAAATATTTTGTACAGTACTGTACATCCAAAAACTGCAAAAGAGCGCGTACGCTGTATGTGTACCCTGAAGCCCTGTGATAGGTGAAAAACTGTGAACTAGGAAAATTAGTACAATTAGTAAGTAGTAGTTTATTTTTGTATATATATATATATATATATATATATATATATATATATATATATATATATATATATATATATATATACAGGTATATATGTATATACTGAACACATAAACAAAACAATGTAAGTCCAAATCAATCACACCTTTGTGGGATCAATGTCACCATTTGTCTAGTAACACTTATTGTAAATCAGTTTCACTTGCTGCTGTGCAAATGGAACACACAACAGGTGGCATGAGAGGCCATTAGCAAGAAAACCCCTATTAAGTGTGATTCTGCAGGTGGTGACCACATGTCATTCCTCAGTTCTCATCCTTTCTGGTTGACCTTTTAGTCACTTTTTCATTTTGTCAGTGCTGTCACACATAGAGGCATCATTAGGCTTTTTTTTTTTTTTTACATCCCACTGAAAGTGCTCAAGTAGTGCATCTAATCCAAGATGGAACATCAATGTGAGCGGTGGCAAGAATACTTGCCGTGTCTCAGCAGTGTCCAGAACATGGAATAGATATCAGGAGACAGGCCAGTGTACCAGGAGACATGGAGGGGGCCGTAGGAGGGCTACAACCCAGCAGCAGGACCATTACCTCATCCTTTGTGCAAGGAAGAACAGGAGGTCCACTGCCAGGGCCCCACAAGATGATCTCCAGCAGGCCACTAATTTGCATGTTTCCACTCAAACTGTCAGAAACAGATTCCATGAGGGTGGTATGAGGGCCCATCATCCACATATAGGGTCTGTGCTTACAGCCCTACACCGTGCAGGATGATTGGCATTTGTTAAGGAACGCCGAAATTGGCAGATTCACCATTGGCACCCTGTGCTCTTCACGTATGAAAACAGGTTCACACTGAGCACATGTGACAGCTGTGACAGAGTCTGGAGACACCGTGAAGAACCTTATGCTGCCTGCAACATCCTCCAGCATGACCGGTTCGGTGGTGGGTCAGTCATGGTGTGGGGAGGCATTTCTTTGGATGGCCACAGAGCCCTCCATGTGCTAGCCAGAGTTGCCCTGACTGCCATAAGGTTACGTGATGAGATCCTCAGACCCATTGTGAGACCATATGCTGGTGCAGTGCGCCCTGGGTTCCTTCTTATGCATGACAATGCTAAGCCTCATGTGGATGAAGTGTGTCAGCAGTTCCTGCATGATGAGGGCACTGATGTTACGGACTGGCCTGCCAGTTCCCCAGACCTGAATCCAATTGAGCACATCTGGGACATCATGTTTCGGTCAATCCACCAAGGCCACATTGACCGTTCAGGAGCTAACTGATGCTCTAATCCAGGTCTGGTAAAATATCCTTCAGGAAAACATCCGCCGTCTCATCAGGAGCATGCCCATGTGTTGTTGGGAGGTTATACAGGCATGTAGAGGCCACACACTCTACAGAGCCTCATTTAGACTTGACCCAGAAGAGGTATTTCTTCCCAGGCTGGACATTGCTGCAGATTTCCACTTTTCATCTTGTCTGACAAATGTGTTTTATTTCAGAAATTAAAGAGTATAAACTCTTGGAATGAGTACAATTAAATATTTAGAACTAAAAACAAACAAACAAACCAAACAAACAAAAAAAAATAGCTGCTCAACTTGCATGCAGACAGCAGAATTGGACATTTCTTGGCTTAGAATGTCTGACTCCCGTTGACTTCAGGACATAAACAGCAGAAGCACAGAGCTGCATCAGCTTATATTATATATGGGTTAGTTAAAGCAAATCCAAAATAAATAAATGAAACATAAGCTGGCATTGTGCACATGTAGAGTTTTAATTAGTTCCATATTTTACCACTTAACCATAGTTGGGTCACAGAGGCAACAAATCCTGAGGACTCATGGACAAAGGGTGCATATGCACAACAACGTGGAATACCCCCTTTTCCATGCAAAACCAGATGGATCAAGAATGAAATGAGAGTGGAAATGTGAGCAGCCCTATGTCAACTTCATGACTGGCATACACGTTGCTATGGTGGTCCATTGGTGACACTCATAGGTGATATTGGGAAGCTGTTGATGATGTGAAAACTATTATTGTACACACCAGACACACATGATGAGCTGGCAGGCCAATTGGGACTGTACTAGTTGACACTGAAATGAGTCATGCCAACTGTGTGGGATGGAATCATCCATATGCCAACCAGGTACATCAAAATAGTACAATGCAGTTGAACAGGCCAACATTAAAGCACAATTTGCAGTAACAGTTTTCCTAATGTAATCAGTGTTATTGACTGCACACACATTACTATAAAAGCACCATCACATGATGAGTATGTTTATGTTAACAGGACACATTTTCTTTCAATCACTGTGCAAATTATGTGTGATGCGCAAAAGCAACTAACCAACACTGTGGCAAGGTGGCCTGGTTCAACGCACAATTAATTAATTCGAATGACTTGCATGGTTGGCTTCTTGGTGACTAAATTCATTTAATTGTCTTGATATGTCTGTGTCATGAACCAGAAGCCGGATCGCAAACAACAACAACAACCACTGAGAGGGTTAAAAGATTTATTGTGAAATAAAGTAAAACTCTGGAGTAGGTCCGGTTCTGGGCTGGTTCCGATCTTCTGATTGGTAGTTCGAGATTGGGTAGTGTTGTAGTGGCGGGCTGCCAGTAGAAGTAGAACTGATGTTAAGGTCCACTGGAACGGAGTCCAACAGGCTTGCAACTAAAAGATAAAGGTTAGTAGATGCAGGGGGAAAAAGACTAATTGGGGAAATGAATCTGTGGGAATCAGATTCAGGGGTAAGGATAAGTCCGTGATACAGAATGAGCTTGACCTTTAATCCGTGATCCAAAAAACAGTCAGAAGGGAAAGGCAGAGTTCATACCGTGAAGTCAGTTGTTCAGCAGAAGTATCCAGTACGTGATCCAAAGAGAGAGTCAAAAAACAAGAGCATGAGTCGGTACCTGATCAGATGAGCAAAAGCAGACGAGGGCTGAGGCAAAAGCGTGGTCGTGGTCAAGGCAAGGGTCATGAACGTGATGAGTCAATCAATGGAATGCTGGAAAGTCTACTGCTGATGAGACAGGATAGAGAATCTGGCCCAGACTGAGAGGAATGAGTGAGCTTAAGTACTGACTGGACCAGGTGGTGGAGCTGTGGGATAATGAGCGGTGACAGGTGACATGAGTTGAGTGATTACTGAGTGTGCAGCATGACAGAGGAGCTGACAGAGAGCAGAGCTATGACATGTCTGACCATTTTTTCTTAATTTCTGTGGGTGTGTGCTGACCCCACAGCATTTACACTTTCACAGACATTGTCCCACTCACTCCTCTTGCACTTGGCACTAATGCCAGAGGACAGTGTTCCAATCAAAATGTTTTTATGTCCCTCTACTTCATTTAAAAGCATCTCCAACTCACATTTTGAAAAGTTTCTCTTTTTTCTGCATGTAGACATTGTTTCCCATAGTGCAGAGAGGTGCACATCCCTCTCTTCCTCATGGAGTGCACATCTCCATGTGATATTGACAAGATGTGTCAATTATGACAGCCCAACAAGGTCCAGAGTCCTTAGTGTCTCATTGCTAATGGACTTGCCACCCCCGGGATTCGCAAACTCAGCCTCCTGAAAGGTCAACATGGTGGATGAATTTAGAAGATCATCAAAGTGCTCCTTCCACTACCCAACAATGTCAGTCTGGGTCAGCAGTCTCCTGCCCAAACCAAACACAGCCTGGGAAGGGGCCCTCTTTCCTTTTCCAAGTTGCTGAAAGGTTTGTCAGAATCTCTTCAAGGCCAACCGAAAGTCCTTCTCCAGGGCCTCCCATGAATTCCTCCCATGCCCAAGTTTTTGCTTCCACAACCACCAATGCTGCAGTCCTGGCCACCCTGTACCTGTTCAGCAGCTTCAGGAGTCTTTTGGGACACCAAAGTGAAGGTCTCCTTCTTCAGCTTGATGGCCTCCATCACAGCTGGTGCCCACCAATGGGTCATTCGATTGTCACTAGTTACCAGTTTTAATTAAAACATAATAAACAATAATAATAAAAATAAACCATAAAAAACACCCTCGATGTCAAACCATCAAGTAACACAAGTAATCTAAAAATCATTTGAAGGTTTCTGAGTGTGCTTCTCTAAAGAATAAAAGTAAATAAATAGAAACATGTGGTCAGACATGTATGCCAAGTCATTTAGTGCCTAATCTTCTTTGTAGTTGTGCTCTGAGATGCATCTGGAGAATGGCTGCCACAACATCGATTAAAAATGCTAATTATATAAAGAAAGAAAAAAAAAAAAGAGACACAACTACTATGAAAAGCTTCTTTTATTTCTGTTTAATATTTCCAAGGGGTTGCTTTTTGTGTAACCAAATTTTGACTATTGCTCAAAGTTCAAATGCCATAGAAAGTACAAAGCAAGTACATGAGTTGAAATACAAAACACAATGTTCAAATGGCAATGGGCAAAACCTAAATACAGTAACCTGTAGCACCTCAGAATGGTCTGTGTTTACTTTATGTGATTATGAGTCCCATGTGGCTGTAATCAGTGGTGGAGCTACTTCTGGTGAAAGAAACTTGAATCCTGCCCATTTTTTAATGTTATTTTTGAACAAAGAGTAAGTGAAGCAAACAGATGGGGATTACAATAGTTTGGACAAAAACAAAGGATGAAATAAGATGCTTTAAATGACTTTTGTTTCTAAATCTATTCAAAGGAACACAAGAAGATCTTTAGCAACAGTTCCCAAAGCCAATGCATTTTCTATGTGTTTGGGTTAATTTCTTCAATAAATATATATATTTTTTTTAATTTACTGAGCATGTGCTTTCATTTTAAAAGATTATAGACTTTAGATTTAAAAATCCTACTAGCAATTAAAAACTACTAGCAAAATGACTAGCAATTAACTACTAGCAATAAAAAAGTAGAAAAAAAAATATTAGTGAGCCCAATACCAAAACCTTCTAGAAGTATAAAATGCCAATATATATACATATAAATATGTACAAAACAAGCAACCCATCAAGGCCAATATAAATGCATTAGTGGCATCTCTTTCATCAAAACTGAAGTACATAATAGAGATTTTTTTTTTTTTTTTTTTTTACAAGATAAACTCAAATAGTTGCCAGTCACACCTCAACCACTAAGAAGATCAGAAATGCAGAGTTGTACTCAAAAAATACTTGTTTGAAGAAGAAACAGCAAAGACAGGTGGAATGGAGGCAAAACACTGCAATAGCAGTCAGTTTATCTTATTTTAGATTTACACAAAGCAAAATATAAATGGACATAAAAAAAATGAAGGAAGGAACGAGGCAGAATCCAGAAATAATGAAATAAACACAATTATGATTTGTGTTACTTTGTAAAACTGCTTAAAAAAAGAATATAATGTAATGTGAAAAGGGTCTTAAAACATATTATTGACAGCAAAATGACAATGAATTAGCATTCAAGGAATTTGAAAATTATGAAATAAAAAATATAAAAAAATAGCTGTTTGTATGTTTTTGCAGGCCTCAGTTCCAGCAAGACCCCTTTACTCAGATCTTTAGTAGAGAATTGTTGACACATCTGTTTGTCTCCTCACACAAGAAAGGTAGCTTTTGTTTATTAATCTCAGAACAGATTAAATAGCCAGAGATCATCATCCTGGTGTCTCCATAAGCTGTAATCTTTTTGCTGTGGACCCAAACCCTTAACCTCCGTCTCCCATTAAGCCCTCTACCAGGGTCCTTTGATAGGTGGGCCTTTAGGACTGTATTCTACTTGGTGGCTCATACAGTCTGCAGGATCACAACGACCATTTACTCCTTTTGTTCCAGGTGGTCCAGGAGGGCCTGGAATTCCAGGAACACCCTGCTGGCCAACAGGACCAGGGGGTCCCGTTTTGCCATAGCCTGGAGGGCCTGGGACACCTGGGGGACAAAAAGAAGATACAGCCTCTATTTTCACTTAATTAACAAAATAATAATAATAATAATAATAATAACATTTTAAAAAAAGTTAAAATAGTAAGAAATCTATTAAGTTTACTTGATATAAATTAAGTTTGCATTATTAAAAAAAACAAAGAAAGAAAGAGACATCTACAAAATTTAAAATAAGTGAGAACCAGTGGATACTTTCTGTAATGACACTTTTACTACAATAGTTATCAGGGAAACAGAAACATTGGTAAAAATTCTACGATTTTTATGAAAAGTTTTTTATTTTTTTATTTTTATAAAGTCTAGTTAAATGTCTCATGTAAAATTAGTGCAGCTGCTAGTTTTAACTTATTTATTTTTATCTTTTTAATTTGGCCAGTACTTTCTGAAGTCTGTGATGAAGAGGGATTATTGGATAAGCTGATCTGGCTTGAATGAATTAAACTGATAATAGCAATAAGGATAAATTGAGAATGATGAAACTACTTTCATCAAACTGGCAATTAATCAAACAACAAAGTTAAACATTTTAAAATGACTTGCCAATTTTATTTATTTATTTTTTTTAATTATGCGAGTGCTGATCTAGATTGGGTGGTACTTATCATTATGCTGAACACACTTTGAAAATAAATGATTGCTGAACATATAACTGTCCTGACTAACACGTGAAAAGAGAAATGATTAAACAACTAGCATCTTCGAGGGACTGCATATTCTATGTTATTTGCAAGTGCACAGGATATTGTGAAATTTTGCCAATTTTGTTGGTGCTCAAATGACTATAGTTGTTGGAAATGACACTCAGTTATTACCGCAACTAAACTTAGCTCAAAATCAATAAAGCTGACTGAGTTAGTCATGATTGCTTGCTAAATTAAATTGGCTGTTGTAGCCATCTTGAATTGTATTGACTTTAATTGTAATAATCAAATGGTTACTTTCTTAGCATTTCACTATAATTGAAGTGATACTTCATGACAAAAAATAAAGTGGTTTATGGGATATTTTGCTGCTATCATCAACAAATGAACACATTCTTACCAACACTAAGGTATCAACATTATCATTCGCCTTTTATCGTTTAGCTGTTGGAAATAATTAATGTTTGGACTTGCAATGTTGACTTTAAGAAAAATCAAGTGGCAAAATATAGCAAAAATAAAAAGCTAGCTAAGCTTTAAATAGTACTTTTCTCTACAAGTCACGTTAACCTTAATTGTATGCCATTTCTGGTTTAACTGGTTCATGAGCCAATGTGATACATCACCTGCTGGTCCTGGGGGTCCTATATCTCCCATCTCTCCAATGCCTTTGTCACCCTTTACTCCAGCTGGTCCTTGTGGCCCTACAAAAGGAAAGTTACACTTTATGACACATGGCAGCTAAACCCTGCACAGTGAATAAACCGTGACACTACATAAATAAATAAATTAATAAATAACTAATCACCTGGAAGTCCTGGTCCTCCTGGACGTCCTTGCCTGCCAATCTGCCCTGGATGTCCAGGAGCACCTGGAGATCCAGGGTTACCCGGGGATCCATCTTTCCCTGGGGGTCCTGGTCGACCAGGTGATGCCACCATCTCTACTGGCATTTGCATGCGAGACATGTAATAGGACATTCTCTCTGGAAAAAATACAACAACAATTAAAAAAATCATTTCACAGAAGCAAAAACAATAGTAACCTAGAGGACAACTGAATAGTTATTTAAATAAGATGTACAAAGTATTTGAAGAAAAAAAAAATTTATGGTGTAGAAAATATTGCATTATGTGCATTAAACAGCCACTCAATTTTGTAAAAATGCTCGCACCATCAAATATCTTGATGACCTGTTGACGAATGAAGTTCTTGATTTCATCGTAATTGACGACAGCCTATAAAAAAAAATAGGAAACGATAAAGAGAAAAACAAACGCACAAACATTAATCAGGCAGATAATTAGAATATGCATTATATACAAGAACAGATGGAAATGGTGAGTGCCTGTGGTCACTGTACTTTTTGCACCACCAAGATGAATACAGAATGATGTGGAACTGATTAAAAATCAAACTCAAAAACACATACTACAATGCCGTGAGAGGAATAAAAAGGTTTATCTCACATCATTTCCTGGTACCCCTGGAGATCCTGGAAGCCCAGGTGGGCCTGTAGAGCCTGTGCTTCCTCTTTCCCCTCTGGGTCCGCTAGGTCCCATCATGGGTTGTGCATCCTTGGAAGTATACCCTCCTCCACCTGGGGGACCTGGTCGGCCTCTCTCACCTGGAGGACCCCTTTGGCCAGCGGACCCTGGCTCACCCTGAAAGAAAGTACACCCGAGTCAGAATGATGCATCTGAAACAATATTAGCCATTTTAATGTTTGATATATAAGTTTTCACAGACATTTATTTTTCTTTTAATAATGCATACCATATGTATGTCCATATGCTAATGTAGTATTAGCATTGAAAGAAACATCTTGCTTTCACTCTTTGAACTAAACTTAGCACTAGAGCTTTTTGTTCCTGTTTTTACCCGAGACTGCATATGATAAAACATTCTTGTTTTGACTATGTTATTTATATATTTAGTAAAATGCACTTATTTTGCTAAAGAAACAAGCCTTTTAAAGATAGCCACTGTCTATGTCTCCATCAGTCCCCACACAGCAGCACTCACCATTCAGGCTGTGCAAACATCCTCAAAGACAGCACCGCTACATTAGCGACAGTGATTTATCGAGGACAAAGCAGCCTATAATGGACGTCTAATGTTTACACGTCACAGGCAGACAAGCACTTCCTGAAATAGAGAGTAGTGAGAAGAATAGAGGATTCCGTTCTTGTCTTTCTACCCTGTTGTGTGCGGCTAAAACCCTGACAATGCTGCCCTGTCAGCGTGACAAATAGCCTCATCTAGCATCTCCCCCTCATGCTTAATAGCATTATCCCAGCGGCAGAAGAATAACTCCATCGCTTTGCCCACCTACTGTAAGCTGCTGTCTGCAGAGAGGTCCACAAGACTCTATAACTGCAGTGGGATGGATAGCAGGCAGATGGCAGCCAGTTTTGAGAGGAGTAAAGTAAGGCCAGGAGGAAGGAGGGGGCCCATTGGGGGGTCAGAGGGTTAGTGAACTGATGACTGTGTTAAGTGTGGGTGCTGAGCAGGCAGAAATAAGGGAGGACGGGTGTGTTCAGCATCATGACTTGCCAACATAAGTCTCCTGGGGATGTGGAGTAAACAAAAAACAGGCAAGTCTTGCTGTTTTCAGATAGTCAGCGGATGTAATGGATGGTTGACGCTCGGCTTGATAATACATTCACACAATACCTCACCTCGCTGAGTCAGCTCTTACCTTTTGACCTGGCTGTCCATTGTCCCCCGGTAGGCCTTGCGCTCCCTGCCAAAAATAAAAATAAAAAATACAGCCAATAAGGAGTGAAAAATATACATAGCACAACTTTAAGGCTGTCAGTGTTGCACTTTAAAGGTGATATAGACCAAGCATTACTCACATCTTTACCAGCAGCACCATCACTGCCAGGCTCGCCCTAAACATCAAATGCAAAAAAAAAAGACAAAGTGAGTGTAGACATTTCAGAAGATGTATGCTTTCTCAAACTTTTATGTCTAAGGGACTTTACTCAAGCTAAAAAATACTGACCAAAGGTCCTGGATGTCCAGGTTGTCCCGGAGGTCCACCCATCCCCGGGAGGCCTCTTTCACCAGCTTGGCCCTTATCTCCTTTTATACCCTAAAGCAATATGTGAAATATGATTGAGAATATTTTTTGTTGTTTCAGGTTTTGACATCAGATAATTTTTTTTCTTATGTTTTTGGTTCCAAACAATCAGACCCAAACATCAGTTATCATACACCTTTGTAACAACACAAACGTTAAAAGGTACTCTTTTTACATTACATTTTGAAGACCTTTTCTGGTCTTGGTATTTTAATATAGCTTTTTATTTATGTATTTATTTATTTCAGTATATGTAAACTCTGTGATTATTGTGTTTAACTATGACTAATGGTGATATTGGTAGTCACTCCAGGCTTTCATTATTGGGTTTTCCAGATATACCAGTATTTATTTCATTGTAGAGCACTGGTGGCACAGGGGGCCAAATCAGGACCACTGGTGAGCTCAGTTCGGCCCACCAATGGGCTCATTTTTAAATAAACCAAGATTTTAAACTGTAAAATAAGCTTAATTAATGATAATAACCGCTGCATTTCTGGCCCCTGTGCTATTGGCTTTCAGTAACTGAGGCCCCCTGGGCAATTTAGTTAAATAGCTCTGTTTTAGAGCATCAACTCATTTCCTTCTTGGACTAATACAAAAACAAACAGAAAAGTCAGTTAATTTATTGTATTCATCAATATTTGCTTGCTATTGTATGGAGATGAATAAATGTTAGATATGTTCTTACTTACCATTCCTGATGGACCAGGTGGCCCTGGGGGTCCTGCTGGGCCCGTGGGACCCTGATTGAAAAGTAAAACAAGTTTAAAATCCTGACAATTCCTAAAGCAAACATTTAAAATGTTAAGAAAGGAGAGCAGTTACAATGTGGCCCGCAGGTCCTGGTCGCCCCTGCACGCCGGGAGAACCAGGATCACCCTGGAGAGATTACAGATTAAATTTTAGATAGAACACTGACCATAAGAATGAGGACTTTTTGAGACGGTACAGATTACCAATCTGTTCTAATAAAATACAAACACTAACCTCATGACCAGGTCTGCCGGATGGTCCTGGTGGACCTGATGGTCCAGGTTCTCCCTGGAAGGACAGGTCATTGTTAAACCCACAAGAAGCACATAAAATCATATTCTCAATACATAAGTGTGTGGTAGAAGTCAAGCAATGTTGTCTGATAAAACAATGAGGCATTGTGCACAAGAAAGATGCTGAAACTGGAACTATACGCTCTTATTGTAAAGCAATAGGTTCTTGGATAACCTTCTGTCCTGGAAAGCCAACATGTCCTGTTTTTCCTTTGAATCCCTGAAGAGAAACATCAAAAAGAAAAAAATCGGTACAGTAAAAAATAAGTCAGGTCTGCCAAAAGAAAAGGCAGATTGTCTTTGAAATCTCGAACACCTGCTCTTGGGCAGAACACAAACCAAGATAGAGAAACATAAAAAAGAAATTAAAAGGATTCAGTAAGGTAGACAGACAGCTACTGGTGTCTTCACTGAGCTCTCATCACCACCTATGCCAGAAACAGAAAGTTAGGGAGATCTAAGGAAACAACGCCATCTTTGAACTTTGGAAGGACTTTGCATCACCGATGACACAGTCAGCATTAACAAAGTGCAGTTAAGGCGGGACATATTAATGCAGTGTTGTAACATGTGAAGTGAGTAAAATACCACAAGTCACATTCAACTAATTAGCTTTCGGTGCTGCTTGGTGAAACCCTCCATGGGTTAATAACTCAGATCATCACATCTGTATGCAACGTTTCTGAGTGTGCATAATTTCAAACCCAAAAAAGATCAAGGGCACAAATCCACCTTCCCATTATTTTACATTTTAAAAGGGTTTGATCATGCAGTCTGATTTGTACACCAATGAGCTGATGGTGAAACAGAATATGAATCATTCAATTATAATTTTAAGACTACGTTTAAAAATCTTGCTGAACAGACCTTATGCATTAAAATAAGCTCTTGTTTTTAGGGTCGCCAAACAATAATGTCATATCTAATGTGCCTAAATAGAAGGTAACTGGACTTGTTTTGATTTTGGAGGTTTAATTTATCATCTAAAAGGCTCCTTCAGGTCACAGCTTTTTGAAAGAAAGTTGAAACGCTGAGAAACAAAAGAAGAAGTCTGGTTACCTTCTACAGTATTTAACCACTTAGGATATTCACGACTGAGAATCCACTCCAGTATTGTCGGATTATATATAAGAGTTAGATTCACACATTAGTAAGACAGAGTACATGGGTGTGAATGAGAGGGATGCCAGTGGAACAGTGAGGCTACAAGGAGCAGAGGTCACAAAGGTGCAGGACTTCAAGTACTTGGGGTCCATTGTCCAGGACAATGGGGAGTGTGGTAAAGAGGCAAAAAAGAGAGTCCAGGCAGGATGGAGTGGATGGAGAAAGGTTTCATGAGTGATTTGTCAAAGGAAAAGTTTACAAGACAGTGGTGAGACCAGCTATGTTGTATGGTCTGGAGACAGTGGCATTGACAAAAAGACAGGAGAAAGAACTGGAAGTGGCAGAAATGAAGATTTTGAGCTTCTCCTAAATGAATGACAAGGATGGATAAGATTAGGAATGAGATCATCAGATGTACAGCACATGTTGAGCAACTGGGAGATAAAGTTAGAGAGGCCAGACTGAGATGGTTTGGACATGTCCAGAGGAGGTATAGTGAGGTAGAAGAATGTTAGAAATGCAACTGCCAGGAAAAAGACAAAGAGGAGATATATGGATGCAGTTAGAGAGGACATGGAGGTAGTTGGAGTGAGGACAGAGGATCCAGAGGACAGAGTGAGATGTAGGATGGTGAGTCACTGTGGAGACCCCTGAAGAGGGAAAAGCTGAAAGAAGACAAAGAAGAAATATTCACAAATTCACTAAATGTATTTTGAGATATAATTTTAATATATTTAATAATCACTCAAACAAGTTTAATCAAATTGACAAAAGTTAAACTAATACTGGCACTTAAAACAAGATGGTACTTTTTCTCCCTTTTTGTTTTCTTTTAGGGCAATGCATGCACAAAATGTCAGTGGGGTTTGTTTGTTATTGCTGCCCAGTGTCACAGTAATGTTACAGCAAATGTAAGATGATCACCACTTTTATCAGAGTCCATCTGCCGTAGATCAATAACATAGAAATAAATTTAAAAATAAATTAAATAAAAACATCCAGTGATAAAATTTATACTTACAGGTATTCCACGAGGTCCTGCTGGGCCTTGAAGGCCTGGCTCCCCCTAATAATAATAGTAATAATAATAATAATAATAATAATAATAACAATAATAATAATAATAATACAAAACTACTTTTCACAAAACAAAATCAATAACTGCTCTTTCTATCTGGATTTTCTACATGTGTTCATAGTCATGTGATTCAGGAGGCATCGCTTACCCGCAGCCCTGGTTTCCCATCTTTTCCATCTATTCCCTCAATGCCGGGGGGGCCCTTTTAAGAATCAAAGCTCAGATCAAAGCTAGTTCAGATTAAAATTAAAAAAATAAAATCAAATATGGTTGAGTAAAGACAAATATGATGAATCTACCATCAATCCTGGAGAGCCAGGGGAACCCGGGGGTCCAGTTGATCCTTGAGGGCCTGAAGAACCATCGATACCCTTTGGAAATGTAACAACAAGAAAAAATAAATCAATTTAATGTGTGGTGATTTAAAAAGGAAAGAAAGCTGGGAACAGTTAAATGTATAATCTGTACTCACCTTTTCACCTTTCAGTCCAGGTGAACCTTCTCTTCCTGGTTTACCAGCTGGACCAGGGGCACCCTTAAAAAGTAAACAACATTTAAAGTTGCATTACAATGATCATGAAAACCAAAGAGTAGAAAAGTTAAAGTGTTTACATACTGGTGGCCCTGGAAATCCTGGTTGTCCTTGGAAGCCCTTGAAAAAAAAAAAGTGATATTTTATTTAACGCTGATAGCTACAAATTTCACTGCATTAAGTTGTGTTACACACACCTGTTCACCTTTCTCACCAGCCGGTCCTGCAGGACCAGTGTCTCCTTTGATGCCCTGCAGACATAGAAGATAATGTTTTTGCAGTTTGAAATTATAAATGTCTGCACTCTAACTATCGCCAGGGCAAATTTGTGAGCAAGACGCTCACCGGTGCGCCAGCCTGTCCTTGATATCCAGGAGTACCAGGAGAACCCTATTAAAAAAATAAATGAAATAAAATGTTAGCTTGCACTGTACAACACAAGCTGCAGGTTGATTTAGCAGCACCATTTGTATGGTGACTTACCAATTCTCCTTTTTGACCACTGCTTCCCGGGCTTCCCCGTTCACCCTTTAGTCCCTGACAAATACCAAATGGCAGTAAAGAGCTGTTAGCTTTCATGTCAGTTAAAGTTCTCAGGGTGTCTTCAATCTTTAGGTCTTTTTTATAATGAGGAGGAAACTTACAGGCAGTCCAGGCGCTCCCATGCTTCCTGGATAACCAGGTGTCCCCGGAGAGCCCTGAGGGAAAGATCACACGACTCATCAAACAGAGAAACCAATTATTTTCCAATATGTTGTAATTTCTGGGGAACAGGTTGTCAAATACGCACCTGTTCACCCTTCAATCCTTGGAGGCCCGGCAACCCACGCTCACCCTGCTGACCCTGAAAATGACAGAATTGAAGACAAATTAGAAAATGAAGGTGTGGATGGGATATGTGTGTCTGTAATGACATTCCCCCGGTGGAAATTAACAGGAAAAGACATGTTGAGTCGATAAACAGAGTAAATGGTTTGTTCATGTGAGATGGCAATTAGCTATTGTTGTGGTTTTTTTTGGGGGGGTGGGGGGTGGGGGGTGGGGGTGGGATGGAGGTGGGGGGGATTTTAACTCTGTGATGACTCAAGTTGGTGATAGAGGGGGAAAAAAATATTGCTTTGTGAGTCATTCTGTTGTTATTGTCTCCACAAAGTAATCCAATATTAAACTTTTTTCATAATACACAAAAACATAGAAAGACAAATTAAATATCTTGCAGCATTCAACCATACAAAAAACCCCATTAAATCCTAAAATTCTATATCAAAACTGAGTCCCAAAGAAATGAATTGAACACTTAATACTATTTTAACATAATCATAGTTGCCTAGCAACGACTTACAGGTCTTAAGCAAAGACAAATGAGTGCCTGAGAATGAGCAACCACAATAT